TTTTTTTTCTTATTGTGGTCATATTGTTCCAGTTGTATTGATGCGTGTGTTACAGTGTGTGTCACTATTGTTTCTTATTTTTCAACAAGTGTTTATAAGTGATTGTGTTTTGCTGTGAGTGAGGAGTGGGTCGGGTCGCGTTGTTGATGTATATGTTTATCTTGTAAAGACAGACAATATATGGAGTTACCGTTTAAAAAAACATTTACTGAATTGATTAAGAATGTACCATTGATGTTAAAGTTAATCTCTTGTCTTGTCTTTCATATCCATAATTGTGAACAATTTACAAGTATCACTTAGCTTCCATCTTTAGTTATCATCCTTGAGAAGAGGGGAAATATAATGTTAACCAGTCAAAGTTAGCTTAATTGTGAGAATAGAAAAGTTGGATGGAATTGTGATGTTTGCCAATGATAGTAATATGCATAATGTTTGATGAGTTGTTATATGCTATCTGCCTTTGGATGTTAGTGTCATATTAATATGGTTCTACATAATTTTGTGATAATGAAAAGAAGAGTTAGTTTTGCTGTTGTTTTCTGATAATTTTGTGATATATACTTGGTGCTTTAGAATTAACATGCATTGTGTTAATATACTTGGTGCTTTAGAATTAACATGCATTGTGATGATTTTGTGATAATTTTCTGATATATACTTGTGTTAATATACTTGGTTCTACATAATTTTGTGATAATGAAAAGAAGAGTTAATTTTCTGATAATTTTGGGTGTAATTTGTTGATGGAGTTGGATAGTCTGATTTGGGGATAAATTGTTAAATGGGAAAACTGCATCTGATTTGTGTGATTATCCAAAAAAAAACTTCTTAGGTCGGTTAGTTATACCCGATTTAAAAAAGTAAGTTCTTAGGTCGGGTATAAATGGTTTCTGCAGGCTATACTTATTAAGTCGGGTTCTGCCTAACCGACCTAATAATAGTTTGTTAAGTCAGGTCCACAACCGACTTAAGAAGTCAAAACTTCTTATGTCGGTAATTCTTAGGTCGGGCTCGGACCCGACTTAAAAAGTCATTTTTAACCGACTTAAAAAGCCTTTTTTTCACTAGTGACACCTTTAATTTGTTAAGATATACTGGGAAAAGTGAGGTCTACATTGATGACTGAACACTTATTTTATCGAGAAAACTTGAATGGTCTGGGTTTGTGTTGAACTCAAGGTTACTTTGCAAAGATATTGATAATAATCCAGAGTAGATCAAGGATCTCACATTTTTTTTGTAAGTTCATATTGAATAAATTACTTTTTTGAATCATTCCCCATGTTTGTTTTTAGATTGCTCATAATGAATTATCACAATGAGTTAATGGAGATATGTGCATGACACTAAACCAGATATAATATATGGGTGATACCTTCTTGAAATTATTAGATTTTAAATTACCAATATTTAAGGATACAAACTTTCATTTTAGTGGTTGATCTGTAACTTCTATTTGCACTACGCCAAAATTGGTTCTTGACAGCACTACATAGACAACACTTTTTTCCCAAAGCGCTGTTATAAGTTTAAAAAAAATTAAAACTATGAAAATAAGCGCTGCTAAAGGCTAACTTTAAAAAGTGTTGCTAAAGGCCATACATAGGCTACGCCTTAGAAAGCGCCGCTAAAGTTTAACTTTTAGAAAGCACTTCTGAAAAGCGCTGCTAAATGTTATACATAGGACACACCTTAGAAAGTGCTTCTAGAAAGCACTGCTATAAGCCGAAGAAAAGAAAGCGCTTTTAATGCAAAAGCGCTGCTAAAGTTAATACATAAGAAAGCGCTTTCAGAAAGCGATGCCTTATGTCATTAATCTCTAAATAATAAAACACAAACTATTGAAACTCTTAGGAACCCTAACTTTGAAACTCTCTCTCTCTCTCTCTCACGACTACTCCCTCCGTCGTATCTCCCTCTCTTCGCAAGACTACTCCCTCCGACCGACCTTCCTCTCTTTCGTTGGCTTAACTCCCTCTATTTCAGAACTCCCTCTGTTTGTAACCCCCTCTGATCGGCTCCAGTTCTGGACATACTCCCTCTGTTCGTCGACTCCACCAGTTTCAGAGCTCCTTGTTTTTTAGCAAGGTATTTCTTATTTTCCTTTTTTGGATTCGCAAGCCATATAATAGATTGTGATGTTGTTGTTATTTGAATTCAATTGAAGCTCGAATGATATTGTTGGTGAATATTAGTGTTGAATATGTGAAACTAATGATATTAATTGTTGGAATTAATTGATGAGTTTGTTTGTTGTTGAAACAATTGAAATGAGACATTGATAGTGTGGATGTGGTTGTTGTTTGAATTTGATTTTGAAATTGTTGTTGTAGTAAGGTTGAAGATGATTAATAGTGATATTTGTAGTGAATTTATTTTGAGAATTGGTGTTAATTTTGTGAGCTGATGTTGAATGTTAGTGATGAATTGTTGAAATTAATTGATTATAATGACATTGTTAATGGATAATTGTTAGTGATTACTTTGTTTTGATATAATTGTTGATTGAAAATGATAATGAAATTAATTGTTAGTTGTTGAGGTTGAAGATGATGAATAATGATGACATTGTGAATTTATTTTTGATAGTCATTGGTGATGTTGTTGATTGAAACTTAAATGACATTCGTGAATTAATTGTTGAAGATTGTGACGTTGTTAATTGTTTGAACTCTTGTTAGTGATGAATTTTCTATTGAGTTTAAATGTGAAATTGATAATTTTGGTGATTGATTTATGCTCGAATTGATGATTCTTTGTTGGATAGAACTTTGAAGTTAATTGAACTTAAGTGATGAAGTTGTTTTTTGTGACTTACTTGAGTTGAAATATTTAGTGTTGATGTGTTTTTTGTGACTTACTTGAGTTGAAACATTTAGTGTTGATGTATCATTTGTAATGAATCAAAGTATATCATGCTACTTAAATTAATGTGATTGAAACATCTATTTCTCGATTTAGATTGTGCCTTAAAACATATGTAGTATCAATAGATGTGATGGAATGTGGTATTCGTGAAATACATATGCAGGAAGGTATTTTTTATTTTTCTTATACCGAAACAATTACTAAAGAGGATTTGGATCAGATTTTTCATCATTCTGAATTAGACATCGTTGTTATGAATTCATACATCAGGTACTCTGATCAATTTTATTTAATTAATTGAACAATTTAGTTACTCATTTCAATGAATATTCTAATGTTAATTATGTTTTTATTTAAGGTTCTTGTATGACAAATTGATACGCCAGTGTCAATTGACAAAAAAATTCTCTTTCTTATCTCCCAGCTGTATCAACGTACAGTTAATCGACTAAACTCCAAATGCAGTCAAAGATCACTTAGTCGATGCATTTATGACCAACAAAGATACAAAAAAGTTGTATCTTTTACCATATAATACTGACAATGGGTTAGATTTTCATTTTAACTTCATTTATTATAATTTTTTATTTTTTGATGTTGTGTAGAAAATTTTCATCTAAACTTTTGTTTTAAAAAGCGCTATTTACGTGGAGAACAGAAATCGCTTTGTAAACGATATTGATTTATTATTATAATCTTATATCTTCATATACAAGTTTATTCTTGATTTATAAATCATTGAGATAATGTTCTATAAGTTCTTGTGATACTTCAAAAGTCATTAAAATCTCATCAACTCTATTTACAAAAGTAAATGTTACATTCTCTTCAAAGTTAGCCGTAATTTAATTATTATTTTTGAATCTTGTGATTTATTATATAATTGCATATAAAGTAAAGTTTGTTTATAATATTATACTCCTTTGACAATTATAAAATGTGTATTTATATAAAAATATAATTTTTTAAAGTATTTTAAAATTGAAACTTTTTATTTGTTTTCATAATTGATTTCTTATTATATATGTGCTCAAATAAATATATAAATAAAAATTTAAAAGTATATTTGAAATCTAACTATTTTGAAATTTTTATTTCGAATAATTAAGTAATATCTATTCATTTGTATATAACTCATTTATTATGGATATAATTATACAAATTTTATTTAATAAAATAATTAAATTCATTTTAATTATAATCTATATTATATTAATAATATTTATACCTTAGTGTGTTATTATTAATATTATTTGAATCTTTTCAATATACTTGGCTAAATTATAATAATTTGAGTGTCCTATCTAATAATAGAGCTATTCATATAATTATGGGGTCATGTGCCCTCATTAATGTTTTATAATTTATGGGATAAGATTTTTTCATTTTCTTTATTTCTATAGTTTTTATATATATATAATCAACTAAATATTAATTATATGTCATATGTCCTAGAAATATGTGTTATTTACACATAAAAATATAAAAAATGAAGAGACAAAAAAATGTAGAAGATCCCATCTCATAATTTATATGTATATATCAAGAATACAGACACATTAATATATGTTATTCTTTCTGAGTGAGTGTTATGCTCTAGTATTTTTTTTCTCACCTCATATATATATATATATATATATATATATATATATATATATATATATATATATATATATATATATATATATATGATATGTTATTCTTTCTGAGTGAGTGTTATGCTCTAGTATTTTTTTTCTCACCTCATATATATATATATATATATATATATATATATATATATATATATATATATATATATATATGAGTGAGTGTTATGCTCTACTATTTTTTTTCTCACCTCATATATATATATATATATATATATATATATATATATATATATATATATATATATATATATATATATATATATATATATATATATATATATATATATATATATATATATATATATATATATATATATATATATATATATATATATATATATATATATATATATATATATATATATATATATATATATATATATATATATATATATATATATATATATATATCATGGAGGCAGCTTTATTTTTTAAAGCAAATAAACAAGTAATAGGACATAGACACACGATAGTATAATGGACAAATTCTATGAAGAGCCGGTTAGTCCTCATGGACAATACTTCAACAGCTCTGTGATCTGTTCATATATCTTTGGCTTTCTAGAACTTGCTATTTCATCTGATGACTCACTAGCTATCCCTTTGATCAAAGATGTCTTCCTCCCTGTCAATCCACGTTTCTCCTCTATTATGGTTCTATATTAATCTCCCATACTTCATTCATTACTACCAGTTCTTTACATTTTAGTTATTAGTTATTTTAATTTGCAACAGGTTAAAGACAAAGATGGTAAGATGAGATGGAAAAAGGTTGAAGTGAAGCCTGAAGAGCATGTCAAGATTCCAAGTTTTCCTGAAACCACAAATTCATCACCAATTGAGTTCTATGACGATTATCTTAGTGACTACGTAACAAGTATTCTAACCGAAAGAACACCACAAGATAAACCACTTTGGGAAATTCATGTGATAAATTATCCAACAACAAGTGCTGCTAGCACCATAATATTTAAACTTCATCATGCACTTGGTGATGGTTACTCTCTCATGGCTGCTCTTCTTTCTTGTCTTCAAAGAGCTGATGATCCTTCTCTTCCTCTCTCTTTTCCTTCACGGCCACAAGTGGATTCAAAATATGAAGATACAAACTTATTTAAGAAGCTGTGTTTTGGTGTAAGCTCCTTTTTTAGCTCCATATCAGATTTTGGATCAAGCATAATTAAGACAAGAATGATTCCAGATGACATAACACCTTTAAGATCAGGATACGAAGGAATTGAGTGTCAGCCATTTATCTTGTCAAACATATCATTTTCCCTTGATCAAATCAAAGAAATCAAATCAAAACTTGAAGTGGTAAGATCAATTAAGTTAGATTACAAAATTAACTATATTTTATTACTAAAATATATCAAATAATTGGATTGTACTGATTAAATTTTCCATGCAGACAATAAACGACGTGATTTGTGGGATGATCTTCTATGGACTTAGGCTATACATGGAAGAGATGAATGAGAAGACAAAGAGAGCAAATTCCACGGCAATTGTAATGCTAAACACAAGAAATATTGGAGGTTATCAATCATTGAAGGAAATGCAAAAACCAGAGAATAAAGGTCTTTGGGGGAATAAACTATCTTTCTTACAAATACCAATACCAAAGCTAAATCAATCAGGAATTTCCAACCCTCTTGAGTTTGTTTGGGAAGCTCGTGAAGTAATAAAGAGGAAGAAAAGTTCTTTCAGTGTTTATCTCATAGGTTTACTCATGGATTTGGAGATGAAATTAAGAGGACCTGAGGTGTGCCATACGTTAATATTTAAATTTGTATTAATTTTACTTAGTTTGGAGCCTCTTTAATTTAATAATGTTTTCTACTTTATTGGTTTGATGTTTCAGGCAGTCTCTAAAATAGTTTATGACACTATTGGGAACACGAGTGTTATTATCTCAAACATGGTAGGGCCAATGGAGAAAATGACTTTGGCAAATCATCCGGTAAACGGATTGTATTTCACCGTGACCGGTGGACCTCCGGTATACAATAAAGACAACAATCACACACTTCCTTATATGCTTGTGTTGGATAAGATAATATATCAAATATAGTTTGACATGATTTATCTATTGTGTACGATTGTAGGAAATAAACATTACAATTATGAGCTACGTGAAAATGTTAAGAGTGACCATGATTACTCTAAAGGGTTTTATAGATGAACAGAAACTAAAGTTCTGCATGGAGAAAGCATTTGATGTCATATTTAAAGCATCTATGGAGATCTCTGAGATATCTACCAAAGATTAATTGGCACATACAAAGGAGTGATTCAGGAATTAAACTCAGTGCAAATAAAATCATATTATATATGTTATATATGTTATATATGTTATATATATTACAAATATTTAAATGAGTGTATAGTGATGTATATTATTATTATTTATTATTATTACTATTATTATTGTTATATTATTAATATAAGTAATAATTTGAATAATGCAAAATTATACGTAAACAACTATCGTGTATGTAATACATTATTTTTTGTACTTGTTTTCCATTGTATCCCTCGGGCATAGGTGATTATTTAATATGTTATTTTGCTTTACCAAATCACAAATGATATATTAACATCCGTGTATTCAGTTTTTGAAAAGCTAAAAATATATATATATTTGAAAAAAATTATGAGAAATGCCAAATTGTTACAAATCACAACCAAATTGTATCAGAACTTGTGATAAAAACCACGCCACCCCTATCCAGTTTCTAAATTTCTACTACGTGACAGAAAAAATTTCTACTACATGATATGATAGTACAGTAGAAAAGGTATTATGGCTACAAGTCACTACTTCACACAACTTCTATGTGATCAAGACACTACTCCAATGTGATCAAGACACTACACCACATTACTCCAATGGGACCAAGACACTACGCCACACTACTTTAATGTGATCAAGACACTACTCCAATGTGATCAACTACTCCAATATTACCAAGACACTACTCCAATGTGATATTGGTTCTTTGTTCTGAATACATTTTCATTCTGGTCTTTTTAAACATACCAAATGCAAGCAAATCAAATAGATGGATCTGCTGTTGATATTTGTGATGGTTGCTGAAATTTTAGAGAGCTGGATGGATTCTTTTTTCCGGAGATTATTTTGTAAATCTTTGAACTTGTTTGGTTTGATTTGGCTGTGCGTTTGTTGCGATTTGTTAGCTTGTTTGATCCGTTGGATTTTTTGGAAACTCTGAAAAGTTGTTAGGCCATGTTTGACAAACCAATTTTCTGAAAAAAACTTATTTTTAAATAAGTGATTTTCTAATAAGCACTTTTGAAAATCACTTTTCTGGAAGCGCTTTTTTTTATCACTTTTCCTTTCTCTATTGGTTGCCTCTAATTTGAACAGATTTTGCCGGTATGGCCGAAGTCGATAATGGAGCCGGTTTCGGAGTAATCCGTTACCCTCCCGACACCCGATGATGATGCTACTCTGAGGGTGTCGAAAAAACTAATCGATTAAACTGTTTGTTTGCTTATTTTTGCAGATTCGGAGAAATCGAAAAAAATTGGAGAATCGGAAGAAATTTAGGAATTTAAGAATTTATTATTTTATGTAAATGTAATTAAATGTAAATTCATATTTTTTTTTTATTTTTCTTGTAAAAATTCTTATTATTTCTAATAAAAATTCTTTATTATTTTTCTTAAACATTATTATTTTTTTTATATTTTTTCTTGATACGTAAATAATAATAAAAACAAAAATAAAAAACAAAACTTAACATAAAAATGAGTGAAATTAATTAAAAATGAAAAGTAGAGATGAAATTAATTAAAAATTAAAAATAGAAATGAAATGAAATTATTTAAAAATGAAATGAGACTAAGAATTAAAAATGAAATAGAAATGAAATTGATTGTTCTTGTTTATTTAAAAAATGAAATAATGATTGATTTAGTGATGAAATTAATTTAAAATGAAATATGATTTTAAAAAATGAAATGAATCTAAAAAAGAAATAAAATTTGACTTAATAAGGAAATTAGTAAAAAATTACACACTTGAAATGAAAATATTTTTATCCTTTTTTGATTTAAAATGAAATGAAAAAAAAAATCACTAAAATTCCATTTTCGATCCAAATTATCCGACTAATCCCGTCTCCGATGCGAACTTCCGACCAATCTCTCCGGCAATTCAAATGAACAACTTTTTTGGAATAACTCTAACTCGTCGATTAAACTCAACATGAATACATTCTTCGGTTAAGTTCAATCTAACAACTAGACCCGATTTAATCTGAACAGCTCAAAAATCCTCCACGCTCAAACCGTCCCAACTACTCCTCGGCCCCGACTCACATCAACAATATACGACGACTCTGATTTCCTGACTACAACTCAACATCCGTAAATTGACAATCGGCTGCAAGCAAATGACCATTTTACCCTTCATGGACTAAAAAGCGCACCACATGATATTTTCCTGCAAGAATCAAACGACTACACAAACTTGTTAGTGATTGGTTGAATGCAATGCAAAAATGCAATGGAATGCAAGATGAACCGACAAATCTTAGGGGAAAATTTAGGGTATTAAAGTTGCCCCTATTTAAATAGCTTCACCTGATGATTTGAGCGACGTAGGCTCGAGAAATCATGGTGAAAGGGATTTAAATATAGTTCACCGAAAATTTTGCCCTTAGATGCAGTGATATGCAATGCTATGGACAAAACGGGACAGACTAAGGCTGACCATGCCATGCATCTAGTATGATGCGTATGATGGAACTGATAAATGTGAATATGCAGACGACACGACGACACAGGGAACAGACGCGACGAACAAACCACACTAGGGAATACGACACACTGGAGAAACAACACGACACAGGGGAACTCTAAAGTGATGGTCAACTGGTGCGAGCACGACCAATTGTCACTTTTAGAAATAAACGGTAAGAAAGGGGGTCCTCAATGGAGATGGCACCGGTGAGACGGCCTCCACTGGGGAATATCTAAGAGTAAATGTTCAACAGGTTCAGGTGTGACTGACTGATACTTTAGGATAAAAGGTAAAACCGGATCTGCACGACTGTAGTATCAAGTAAATAGAATGCTGGAGCATTGAGCAAACGGAAATTTCAGGATCAAACGGAAATTTCAGGAATCCATAAAAAGTATACAGGGTAAAACCAACTGTATGCCAAAATAAATGGACTTTAATGGGAAATGCCCTGATAAGCTTCTCGGGAGAGAACTGCCACTTATCGTTGGAAGGGACTTAAATGCCAAACCAGATAAGCTCTCAAATAAAGAGATTGTTTCTTATCTGTTGATAATATTAATTGATAAGCTCCACTAGAGGGATTGTCGCTCATCTGACAAAATAAGCTTCCATGATCGAAACATGATTCGCTTCTTCTTTTACCAAAGGATAAAATGAACTTATTCATAATTCAAGATCGTGCTCTCCTGAATATGATTCAGCTTCTTGTTTTACTAATGGATAAAATAAACTTCTTCATACTTCAAGATACGGTGCCCTGAAGATGATTCTGTTTAAACCTCCCCACTCTTCAAGATGAAAGGGCAATGGAAACCAAGCTGCTCGATGGAGATGGCCATTTGTTACAAGTCATAACGAAGATAGGATAAGCTTCTCAGGCGAGAAATACCGCTTATTTGCAAGAGTGGCAATGATAAGCTTCTCGGATGAGCATTGCTTGTAGAGGTGGTAACAGGTAATGTAAATTGTAAAGAAAGTCGTGATGATGGTAACATCGAGATCACTAAAGTGTAACATGTAATGTAAATTGTAAAGAAAGTCGTGATGATGGTAACATCGAGACCATTGAGTGTAATGATGAGCTTCTTGTATGAGAAGATCAATTGTAGAGTGTGATGATAAGTTGTAAAGTGTAATGTAGGTGATAATGATAGGCTTCTTATACGAGAACTGTCACATATCTATTGAATGTAATGATAAGCTTCTTGTACGAGAAATGTCGCATACCAGTTGTTGTAAGATGTATTGATAGATTTCTCAGGTGAGAACTATCGCGTATCAATGTTGTAAAAGCTTTTCTTGAAAGATAGTGCAAAATAAATGCACGTCCAGGTATGTTCAGTGACCGACGGGACCGAAGTTCGATCTAGAATTGGGCTAGAAAGAACTGTCAAACACGACTCCACTGAGGAAATGAGCTCACATGGGGATTATCTTATCCTATCACGGAAAGATAACTGAAATAACCATCATCCACGAGGGTTGAACTTTGTGGGGATTAGCTGGAAACAAATAGTATTTTATGCTTAGGGCTGACGATCTACTTGGAGAGAGCGGACAAGCCCAGTTACTCGGCGGTAACGACAAAGACGACGACAAAGAGCAAACATGCAAATGCTAACTGCGTATGTCAATGTGTATGACAAAGAAATGAAATGAGTATGTAACGCTTATGCTAATGCGTATGCATATGGTGACAGACGAGAGAGGAGACTCGAGATGGAATAAACACCTCGATGGGGATACCCTGACGACCTCTGCAACAGTACATCTATCGAGGGATAAGAAAAGTTTATGGTAGAGCCACATTGGCTTCAAAGTTCTAACTCTCTGGGGAGAAAATAATCCACTTGGGGATACGGTACCACAACTTCCTCATGGGGATACGATACGACCTTGCTGGAGAGTACGATATCATGACTTCACTGGAGAGACTGTGTCGCGGTTAGAATAGGATATCAAATTATTAATTAATTTGAATCACATCTTTTAGTTCACAACCGATCTTTGATTTATCCGAAGGAAAACCTATTTTTGCATCGTAAACACAATGCGGGGAGAGACCTTGGTAAGGGGTTGGTTAAGCTTTGGGAAGGTATTAGCACCCTAAACTTCTGTAGTACTCTACAGGAACCTTTTGTTTAAAGTATGCTATTTTATTTTTATTATCTGTTTGAAATATATATTGAGCTAAGGGATAGAGTGACCTAAAGAGACCTAAGGGTTAGTCCAAAGTTTACTCGGCAAGACGTCGCATCTTGTGCCTACATATCCTGACGGGAATGGGATCAGAGTAATTGTAGTTCCCCTCGAAAGGGAGGTTAGAAACTTCTTGACTGTGGTCAAGGTTTCAAAGGGGAATAAGTGTTCTTAAGGAAGCGCTTATGTGGAGTCTCGAAACTCCTATTTCTAAGTTGAATTTGTTGAATTGAAATTAGGGTTAAATTAGGGATCCCACGGCGGGAAACCCTAAAACAGAGTACGATGACTCTTTGACCT